AGTTGTAAGTTCGCCTGTTCCTCTAGAAAATCCTATATTTCCTACTTTAATGGAAGTTAAGTAAAAATGACTCTACAATCCCTTCTATGAGTACTAAACGGATACAAGTTATATAAGACTCAGAGTAAACAAACAATCGATTGTGCGCATCTGCCCTAAGGCGGAAAGCACACATCCCATTGTTTGTTTGATCATTGTGGTATATAACCCTGGTATATTCACTTGTTACTCATGGAGTTAATTGTAATGGTTCCTTTATATTTAATGAAAAGATTCTTTAAGAAAACCCTTATTTCTTATAATAAAATGGTGACCACAGTGATTACTTTTATAATAACTTAGTTTATACTGGATATATATGATCTAATATCGGATAGAAAGTTAGTTGGGTGAATCTGCCCTAAGCCCACAACCAAACAAGGAACAGGAAGTAAGGCGGAAAGCACACATCCAACTACCTATTGGGATTATTTATATATAACCATGATGTATAAACTAAAATATTATAGAGTTAATCACCTAAGGTCTTTTAAGTTTAAACTGGTTTAATAAAATGGATTAAACCTTTAACTGGTAAGTTTCTAGTTTTGTATACCAAAAGTTCTGATTTGGAAAGTATGTTTTGTACTAGAAAACTGTGCATTGACTCTGTGTCCTATGACTTGACCCATACTTGGTACCCTTATGATGACTTAATGTATACTAAGCATATATATATATATATATATATAATATATATATATATATATATATCTAGAATCGAATAGAAAATAGACTGGGTGAATTCGTTCCAATCCCACAACCAAACAAGGAACAGGAAATGAAGCGGAGAGCACACACCCTATTACCTGTCGGATCCTATTGATATATATATCCTTTGATGTATATATTAAGGAATCATAAGGTTAGCATTATGGTCCTTTCTTACTAACGTAGCCTTCTACCAAGGCATCTAATGTTATCTATGTTTGTTTCTTGCATGAGTTGTGTAATTTCCCAAGTGAGACTATCATTAACCAAAAATATAGTCTTTACATTACTGTTTATTGTGAGAAGATCACAATGTGAATGAAATGGGGAAATAATAAAGTACTGTAGTGTTGTATTATAGTAACTACTGCTGTACTTTCTACCTTAATCCGGCTGTTAATTAAGATTAAATGTGGAATGGTTGCACCATACTATTGACTAATAACACGACGATGAAAGACGTCGGAAGAAATGACATTTGGCACCCGTAGACTTGCAAGTCCCACTGTAGCTAACAACAAGGTGTAGGATAGTCAATCCAGTATAGATCTATACGCAAATTCACGCTCTCCCTCCAGGAGAATTCTGGCTACAAATCGATCCATGACAGGTGATACCATGCCTCGGACGATGGTTCACATTTATGTTATTGTATACTTGTATATGTAATGTATGTACTAGCTGTATTGTATGTTCTCTCTGTCTAGTATGTATGTATGTTCTCTCTGTTTCTCATAATAGTATGTTCTCTTGTATAATGTATAGTATGTACTACCTGTATTGTATGTTCTCTCTGTCTAGTATGTATGTATGTTCTGTTTGTTTCTCATCATAGTATGTTTGACTCATGTATGAACTGACTCTTTGTATGCTTCATTGTACTAGAAGTAATGAATAGTATCTTCCTAAACTATACCTATTATAGTTTACTAATGTATTTACTTGGACTGTTATTTGAAAAGACTCATTTTACTACTAAGTTATGCTTGTACTTTAAAAACGGAGTTTGATTAACTATAAAGTAACATAACTTTAAAAGAGTTTTTGAAATGTTTTGATCACTTATAAAAGACATAAGCAATATTTTGAAAGATGTTTATAACAAACAATTACACAATTATCATTGTGTTCAACTTGTATCCCCCCCCTTAAAAGCATTTAAAACAGTTAAAATATTCATTACGGGGTATGAACTCACCTGATGTGGGTGATTCAACGAATACGCATGTAAGGATGAGAAGTTCCACGAATGAAGTCCCGAGACACAAGTCCTAAATGACATATATTGGCGTGAATATAGTGTTTATAAGCAACTATATGAAAGGAAACACCTTCCGGGACTAGGAAACACTTTGACCAAGTGTTGGAATCACATGTGATTCATCAAAGGAAAGTGGAATGGTAATAACATGAGTTTACTACCATGGGTTTACGGCCAAAGGGAGTTTACGGCCGTAAACTCATGGTCAAACATGCATAAGTGTTTGTTTGAAGTCTAGGGAAGCTTGAGGGACTTTTGCTCTACCCAAGGATGAGAAAGACCAACTCAATGGAGGCTTTTGATGAGTTTATGGCCCAAAGGAGTTTACAGCCGTAAACTCATGGTCATTATGCATTTGAGAGTAGTTTAAGGTCTTCTTCTCATCAATGAAGGGTTCTAGGTCACAAGCTTTGCATCTAGGAGGGTTTATGGCCAAAATGGCACCCTTAAAAGGGTTTACAGCCATGGGAGATGGCTTGGCCGTAAACTCCTTTTGTTCTTGTGTTCTTGATGTTTTCAAGGCTCTAAGCATGAGTCCTAACTAGATATCAAGTGTAGGGAAGAGTACTTACGATATAGAGGCTTGAAATGGTTGATTTTGGCCAAGAACACTAGTGTGTGTTCTTGGTGTTTCTTGAAGATCTAAGAAAAGATGATTTCTATGGATGAAATCATGGAATGATACTAGTTAATGAAGGATATCAATTAATCAAAGGTTAGAACACTTACATAAATGAAGATCTAGATGAAGAATCCGATGATACTTGAGAGAGAAAGGGAGTGTTCTTGAGTTGGAAATGAGATAATGAATGAAAAGTGAAGGAAATGAGCCTATATGAGGGGAGTTTACGGCCCACCTTGAGTTTACGGCCGTAAACTCAAGTGTTGTGGCCGTGAACTCTAAATGAAAAGGGTAAGGCTTGATTTGTTGAATAATGTCTCTAGCAGGTACATTCTAACACTCATTCCTTAAGTGTACTAGGCTTAAAACTCCTTAGAATGACCTTTAACCAGGCTAGAACTCATTATCAATGAGTCTGATACTCAGTTGAGTTGACTGACTGGGCTTTCAAAACAATTTTTTTTTCGGGTTGTCACAGAAACTCACTAAGCTTTGTGCTTACGGTTTTAGTTTATTGTTTCAGGTGCTTCTGATGATTTTGGCAAGGCGAATGCGTGACTGTACACATCATTGGTTTTACAACAGATCGGATCTTGGAAAACTCTGATTTTCAAATAATGTTTGAGAACACTATTTTTGTAAACATTTTATTAGAAAATGATCGTTTTTAAAAGTTTAAATTTGTTGAAATTTTCGGGATGTTACGAGTTGGTATCAGAGCTTTGGTTTGAGTGAAGTGGAGGAACACTCGTGTGAATCCACATTCTGCATTCATCTTTCACAGTCACACTTATTCCTCACATATTGCCTTGTCCTTCGACTAACACTTCAAACCAAAGAGGATGAAGCCATTCACCTTTTCCCTTTTGTAAGTTGTTGTTTTTGATAGTCTAAAACATGAATTTGGGTTCAATTTAACCCCACCATCTACCCAAACATTTTATTTAACGACATGGAGGCCATGTCAGCCAATGAACCAGTTACGTAAATGGTAATCGTATACGAGACACATTTTGCAAACGGTAGCCGGTACCATAGATTTAATCATTAAAAAAACGTTATAATTTTTCATAATAGAATCAAAATCAAGTGTAATTGAATATTTTTTTTTATTGTAATAGGGATAATGACTTAAAAGGTTAATATATTTTTCGATTTGTACATATTTGGTCACTGAGTTTTTTTTTTCGTCCACATTTACCGCTTCAACTTGTTAAACTGTACACATTTAGTCCTTATGACCGACTACTTCAAGTTAGCCGGTAAAAATGACTTAATAGAGTAATATATTTCTCATTTTGTACATATTTAGTCCTTAATATTTTTTGTACACATTTAGTCCTTAATATTTTTTTTTGTTGCAAAATAAGTCATTTTTGTTTTTGTACTCATTCAGTACTTATGAATGATTTCTTTAAATTTTTCTCACGACATCTTACGTGTGATAGCCATATGGTGGTGGGATAGGTTGAGGCAGTCGTGCTATATATTGTAGGCCAAGATACCTGGTGTGGGCCGGCTGTAAGCCGTAGGCACGGAGGCTCGAGAAAAGCGGTTGGGTTAAGGCGACAGACCAACAAACCCTGGGTATTCCAGTCTGATAACTGATTGGATCTGTTGCATGTTGGCATTCCAGTTCGATGACTGATTGGGCCTAGTATTCCAATCTGATGAGTGTGAGCCCGTTATGCATGATAATATGTTTGTTGTATCGGGTATATTGGAGGAAACTCGTTAAACTTTGTGCTTACGCAATTGTTTATATTTTCAGGTTCTATCGTTGATCGTGGGAAGGCGAAGACAGGACTGTATACACTCATCAACAGTATTGAGGATTCCGTGTTTCCTATATTACTCTGATTTTCGATTAATATATTTTGGAATAAACGTTTTTTCTTAATAATAGATTTATAATTAGAGAGTTTTGCCTTATTTAAAAATGAAGTTTTTTTTTGTTGTGAAAATGAGACGTTACACATAAACATCAATAGCCCCACACACTTCATTAATGATTGTCCCACATAAGATGTCGTGAGAAAAACCTAAAGAAATCATTCATAATTACTGAATGAGTACAAAAACAAAAATGACTTATTTTGAAACAAAAAAATATTAAGGACTAAATGTGTACAAAAATATTAAGGACTAAATGTGTACAAAATGATAAATATATTACCTTATTAAGTCATTTTTCCCGGTCATAAGGACTGAATGTGTACAGTTTAACAAGTTGAAAAGGTAAATATGGACAAAAAATAAACTCAATGACCAAATATGTACAAATCCAATAATATATTACCCGTTTTAAGTCGTTATCCATTGTAATATTATAAAATTTTAAAAGGACACGTACAAATGTTTTAGCGGATGGCCTGCCAAACCCAAAGACCAATAGACCATCGCCATATATGCACTCATACAGTACACCAAGTCACCAAACACCGCTTTTTGCTTTTCAAATCAAGTGTGCGTGTGAATCGGGTTATTATCTGCCATTCTGCCCCTTTCTCCATACTCCATAACTCCTCCCTTGACTTTTCCCTCTTTCCATACCATTTTCTAGGTCTCTCTCTGTCTTTACCGAAACATGGATTCATTACCACCACTTTCATCAATGGCAAGTCGCCCGATCATGCCTCAAGTTGGTGTTGCTGCTGATGATCGCACATCAGAGGAGGATGTCTGCAGTATATGCCTCGACGCTTTTGATTCCCAGGATAACCCTCCCACTGTATATACTCTGTCGTCCTCTCTAATTTTCGTGTATTAATATCTTATATAATCAACAGTTTGATTCTACTTCAGAGTGATGAATTTTTAGAGAAACTTCGAATAAATTTTTTCATCATTACTAGTATTTCGTTGATTCCTGATGTGGAAATTGCTGTATTTTGGACTTCGGAGAGAATATCAAAATTTTACCAGTTTTTTGTTGCGAAATTACACCTTTTCGAAATTAAAAAGAAAGGATTGTGGGATTATAGGTTGATTGTAATTTGTAATAATAACATATGATATGATGCCTATGATCTAGTCGAACTATATTCACTGAAAATGGTTGTTAGTATTTCGATATGCAACAATGAGTAATTTTTTTCCCTTGAAGCAACGGTATTTCACTTTAATTGGGGTTTCAATTTCCTAGTTGATGTTTTGCTGTTAATTAATGGAACTAAATTATTAAACATATGGTGTGTCTGTTTTTTTTTTTATCTGTGAACTTGATACCATGTAATTGCACTTTTGGATTACTTTTGATCTTATTAATCCATATCTTCATAATCACTAACCATTATATATTCTTTTCCCACATTCAGATAACCACCTGCAAGCATGCATTTCATCTCCAGTGTATTCTTGAGTGGTATAATTATAATCTATTCTTATTAACCTTGATCATATTTTAATATCTTATTATCTTCTTCCCCTTTTCAAATAATGACATTGCTTGCTTTATGACCCTTATATACACACAGGTTTTGAATTTTGATTGTTGGTGGAAATTTGTTTTCTTCAGGTCACAAAGAAGTAAAGAATGCCCAATATGCTGGCAGTTGATTGTGTTAAAGGATCCAACCAGGTATAAAAAGAATACCCCCATTTCTTTCCTTTTTTCCCATTAACTATTGCCTATAAAATTCTGAGTTTTTTTTTATATTTTTATTGGTGGAAATTCAGTCAAGAGCTTCTATCAATGATTGAGGATGAAAGAAGCATGAGATCCATTCTCACTGTTCGCCATATATACGAGGATCCTGAAGTTGATCATGTAAGTTTTGTTGTCCAGATGTTAATGTGACAAAAGACAAGAATACCCTTTAAAATTTTGTTCTTGATCCGGTTTTAGACCAATCTGTTAATCTCAGGAAGTTGAATACAATGATACCCATTTTGAAGAAGAAACTATGAGAAGTTTTGGTAGCAGAAGGCACAAACAGAGACTTTCAGGAGTTGGCCCTTCGGTTCCAAGGGCAGATTCGTCAATTGCACAGGAAGTGTATACTCCACTTGAAGAATTCCACAGTTTAGGCTATGCTTCATCACAGGATAACAGAGATTCCCACACTAACCCTAGGTATCTCATTTAATACATGAATCATGTAAAACCAAAACCTTTATCTATTTATACTTTTGTATAATGTTTATAGAAATAACTCTTTAACTTATCTTCATGTTGTTGCAGAGTTGTTGAAAGTGAGTCACCAAATGGAAGAGCAATAGCAGCTGATATGCATGCATTCTCAGAGTCTGTTAAATCTAAGTTTTCTGCTGCTTCAGCAAGGTATGAATTTTTTTAACCTTTTTCATTTTGTTTGTTCTAAAATACTGTTGGAGTTTTAAAATGATTTAACACAATTGGTAGGTATAAGGAATCTTTCTCAAAAAGCACTAAAGGTTTGAAGGAGAAATTACTTGCTAAAAATAGCCCAGTTAAAGAGTTAAGCAGAGGAGTTCAGCGAGAAATGAGTGCAGGAATTGCTAAAATTTTTGAACGCTTGGATCCCACTTCAAAAAAAGCTTCTCCTTCATCTAACCCAATCACTTTTAAAGGAAAAAATTCACAAGATAATGTGGTGCCATTACCACTACCCCTTCATGGAAATTCCTCTGATATTGATATTGCTACTACTGGGGATTTGAGTTCAAATTAGGACCCGTGTAGATCCGTTCAGGTTAGCCACATCATGATTTCACACCCCATTTACACAGTACACAGTACAAGACAGTATTTGGCTTAATGGGACAAAAATTGCACTTTTTGTCTTACCCAAGAAGGTGGAAGGTGGGGCAGTGACTCACTCTTGATCTCTCGTTTGTGAAAAAGACATAAATGCCCTTCCTCATCCTCGTCATTAGAAATGGCCCTAGAGTGTTTATGCTGTCCCCATAACAAAAATAGCCTTAGGGATGAGGAGGGCATTTACGTCTTTTTAACAAACGAGAGATTCAGAGTAAATCCATGTCCCACCTTTTTGGGTGGGACGAAATATTGCAATTTTTCTCCGGTTGACATCCGTCTGTGTCCAATGCAGTACAATATAGTCTGTCATGTTATGTCCTCCGTCTGTGTCCAATGTCTGTTGAATGCAGTACAATAAGGTCTGGTCATGTCATGTCCAATGTCTGTTGAATGCAGTACAATATGGTCTGGTCATGTCGTGTTCAATGTCTGTTGAATGCAGTACAATATGGCCTGTCATGTCATGTCATGTCATGTGTAACAAATGGGCTGTGAACAATTTATGTTGTACGTTCCTTACAGAATGTGATTTGATGGGTGTTTCACTTGCTAAAGGAAGTTGAAAATCGCGCTCTACTTCTACAAGTGATAATAGCAAAGTGACATACACTGATGAACGGATCTCCCATAACATCAATAAGTGTATTTGACATTGTTTCGAGGTGGCTTATGTTTCTAAAAACAATGACTACAATTTTGTGTGTGGTTAGGATTATTACTAAAACAATATGGGTGAGAAGGAAAGAGATTTTCTTGGAGAAATCCTTCCCTCTTGGCTCTATTGTAATTTCTTTTTCATGAATATGCTTTATTTAATGGTATGATGTCACAATATAATTGTCCTAGGAGTAAGGAAGCATGATTGTCCTACTACATCTACGAATGGTTCTCCATTTGATGCTTTCAAATAGGGGGAGAGGCAAGGAAACATTGGTGATAAATTTAAAAAAAAAAAAAAAAAAATCCGTAAGGTGATACAAAGAAGGAAATCCAAGTAAAATGAAAATGACTTGGGAGATTAAGAATATAAAACCACCGACAAAATATATGAGACCCATGGGAATTTGGGATGAAATTGAAAAAGATTAAGCTAGGGAGAGGTCTAAGAAACAAATACAAAAGAAAGGAGTTGATTCACAACTTGAGAGTTTCTTTAGAGAAGATCCATGTTGTTATGGTTTCATTTCCAAACAAAGAAAATCCAATAAGTTTGCAATATTCAAAGAGTTTCAAATGGTTAAGAGATAGATATTGCAAGAAGCAAAAATAATACAGATTTTTTGAGTGGAAGGATGATGCTAAGAACACACAACAAACAATTGTGACTTGTTGAGAAAAGCCAGTTGAGAATAGTGTGCAAAAAACACACAATAAATTGTAAAACTAATTGTTGACTTTATTGACAAGAGCCGGTGAGAAAAATTTGGAAAGAACAAATAGTAAACTAGTAGACTGTACAACTGGTTATATGTGAACCTATATTGTCATACACTAAACAATATTATAAATGAAGAAATGGATACAATATTTATAATATATAGATATATTATTTACTTACTTGAATAAATAACTAAATAAACAGTTGTTTGTTATTAATTGGTCAAAAGTAGAATAAATAAATAAATTAATAGTTATTTATTATAAATTATATATAACATAAAAGCTTAAAAAGTTGGGGAACAGTATAGTTTTTTCTCTTTCATGTTTGGCCACGGAAGTTTAAGTTTTCGTTATTTTGACACTTAGAGTTTTGCTTTCGTTGTTTTCTTTTCTTTGGTTCCAACTTCGCGCTTTATTCCACCACCGTCAGCTTCTAACACAAGAGATACGTGCCTTCTTCCCCTTTTTTTCCTTGCTTACTCACCCTTAATTGTATCTCTTCCCACCACCATTGTATTCAATCAGATAGAGCTTCCACCGCTTTTTTTTTTTCTTCTGCATCCCTTCAAGGCGATTCTTACCCTTCTCCTTCCAATTCTGTAAATCATCCGTCAATCGATACATCGCTCTGTCGATAACTGCCTCTCACAACTCTTCCTTTGTCTTAGAAATTCCGCTTCTGCTTCTCCTCTCACCTCCACTGTTGTTATGTATGGACATCAAATCGTCGAATTGACGTCTCAGGTGAAGTCCCCAATTTTTAGGGCAAAGTAATTTCACCGGCGCGCCCTTTTTTTTCTCAGCAAACTCCGACACCGACAACAAACAAGCAGCCGCCACCAACTGTTGCTTCCTCTTTTTGGCTATACCACAAGCAAACACAAAGTGCACCGTCATACTGTCGCCGGTGCGTTGAGGTTCTGGTGAAAGCGCCCTACCCGGCGGCCTTCAACCATCATATGTTCGACATCTCTGAGTAAGTTTCTCAAATCCATCTCCACTCCTTTGAACGGGTTGTTATTCAGTCATGGATGGAACCATATATGTATTGGTTTTATTTGTCTTGATGACAGTTGCAAGGACACCTGCGGACTTGTGCACTGCAGCTGACCAGCTTAAAAGCCACCCTTGATCTTTAAATTACTTTATTTTGACCCTAATTTCGCCAAATTTTAGAATTTAAACTCATTTTTTTTTGAATTTTTTATTAAAGTCACATCCTTCATCTATTCTTTACCCAAAGTTTTGGGGTTCTCTGCAACATGTTTAAATTTTTATATCTTTTTTCATGAACTTCTGTTGCGATGTTACACAGAATCTGACAATTACCAACTACCTACAGTGTAGTAACAGATTTGGAGAAGAGGGGGAAAGGGATGTGGCAAAATTCAAGTAAACCAAACTTTTGGGTCCACTACGGCTGACTTACCACCTGAACAATGTATTGATCCATATCACTCTATGATAGTAACTTGCTAGAAGTAGGCAATGTTTGATATTGTGCAATATAGGAAAGAACCGGATGGTTCACTCCATTAGAATTTAAAAAATATGTTTCATTTGTCAAGAAATCATTTCATTAGAATGAAAGCCTTTAAGAGAAAGAAATATATAAACTTTTTGCTGTAAGGTGAGTTTGTAAGTTAGTAAAACCCAAAAAAAAAAAATTATACTTTTATATGATACCGTAAATACCGTAAAAAAAATCATAATTGTATTTCGTATTTTTGATGCCCTGAAAAGAAAGTAGTTCAAATATTCAGAAATCATAAGTAATCATCGTTTGAGGAAATCTAAAACCATGTAATTAATAATTGACTTTGTTTATATGTTAGGATATTACATTTGGAGGAGATACCAGTGCAAATAACCAAGAGCAGGTTAAGCCGTATGGTGGAAAGAAAAATCAGAAGAGGAAGCATCGGTAAACCCAAAACAAAACATCTTCAAGCCGAGTAGTAATTTCATTTTGTACGTTATTCTTTTTAGAGGTCACAATTCCGAGGTTACATTTGGTCGATATTTATTTCCATATATACCCTTTTAATTTGATGACATTCTAAATTCTTATAGGTACTTTGAAGCTCAATTCATTATGGATGACTAAAAACGAGGCAAAAAAGAATGATCAACAACATGGAGTCTGATGCATGTTCACGATCATTAAAAAAAGAGAGTTCTATATGGTTGGATAGGCTTATACCCATGAACCGGAGAACAAAGTTTAACGTTTGCAAGACGAAAATGAAAACTCAGTAGAGGGCAGGTATCTCTTATTTTATAGCAATTAATGTTCACCTGATCTCCGTGTAAAACAAAGTTTTATGGAGGACTACATCTGATTTGGAGAGATTAGAAAACATGATGTATGATTCAATTCGACTGGCAGCAGATGTTCATCGGCAGGTTTAATATTTTACATAAATGTTTTTATTTTAATTATATTTTGATTTTCAGAGTATGAAATATTTATTTCTACTTTTGTTCTTAAATATGCAAGTTGAATAAGTTGTTGTTCAGGGTATGTATAATCACAGAGCATATTTGCCTCTCATAGTCCCTCTCTAACCCTAAAAACTGAAGAGAGGAGCATAGCGGTTTTCATATGCGAGAGGTATGGGAGAGACAATGGAAATAGGAAAATCGAAGGGGGCATTCAAGGCAGAGGCGAATTGCAACTTTTTCCACTAATGCCTATTTGATTTGTTAATGAAATGTCAGGGAAAGCTATCAGATGTTCAGGTAAATTTTTTTTACTCATGTTTCAGCACTCTGATTATAGGCTTTTGGCTTAAAACTATAGAAAATTTGTTTTAAGTTTTGATACATTATGTTTCTCTGATTATCAGTGCGGGGAGCAGATGGAACTACAACAGAATCTGTAGGTTGTGCAATATTCTTCTTTCTGTTTTCTACGTCTTCCCTTTTCCATCTTAGCAGGTAAAAAAGTTTCCAGTTGCTTACTTGCTCCCACATGTGATTGTAGTTTATTAGGAATATGGTGTTTGGATGGTAACATAATGCTTTTCTTTTGATTTACTGTTGGACAGATTATGTTATTAAAAGAATGTAAAGTTTTTAATGTGTACAATGATATCATATGGCTTAACATTATTCTTAATGGATCTATCTTTGGATCCTACTCTTTGGATATAATCAATGTTTGTATACAGATTTTCACAGAATTTTATGGTGGTTTTATAGCTGTATGTTATTCTTTTTTGCAGGTTTTGAAATACAATATATCAGCTGCTCATATTAGATAATTATGACTTTTTTGGTTATAGTAGCCTGATGCCTCATCAACGATTCAGATTATGTTACCATCCAAACACTTGCTTTTATGCTCAGTGGAGAACCTGATTTAAATTCAGGCTCTACACAAGATCGGCTACCATATTTTAGGCGAAAAAGGTAATGTTCCAACTTATTCTTTCTTTTCCATTAAAAAGACTTTTTTCGCATGTTCAACTTAAAGAAATGGTTTTAAAATACAAATTTAATCAAAAATATAGTTTTAATTAACTTATTTAGACAAAATAGTTTTAATTTTGACATTCAAATGTGATGAAATGATAGATTTGTGTCTTTCATATAGCATTTCCTGTTCTGCTTTCAATGTCTGAGCCATAGGTTTTTGTTTCTTCCTTCTTTTGCTCTCAAAATTCCATGCTTACATTTTAAGATATGTTGTATGTTCCTAACTTATCCTTTGGTGGAAATTAATATAACTTTTTCTCAATTTTTATTAGGCACAATTGATAGAGCCTCTGGTGAAGGGGACACTTGATGTTCTTACATCTGCTGCTAAAGTTCCATCATCTTCCATGGTTGCAGTTGTGTTTCCTTATGAACCTCTGTTTTTTTGTTATAGATACGGGGTTGGTGGGATGCCTTGCAGCAAGAAGAAAAATGCAATGCGAGTGAGTGTTTTTAAGTTTCAACACTTCAATCTTATATAATTATTTCCGTACAATAATCTTGACATTTATTTATTTATGTATTTCAAGTGCTTAGTTATTTATCGATTTCCGTGGATGATGATACCTTATGGGCTTTAATACTGGTTGCACTCTCTAATCTGGTGACCTACCCACTTTGTATTTTCTTTAACCGATCTTTGTTTTTTTTAATTATGGAGTGGTTATTTAAAACACTTAACCATGTTGAATATGTAATTGCAGGGACAATAATCATTTCATCAACTACTTCCTTTCCTAAATTTCTATATAAGACCTATCCAAAAATCTCTTGTATGTTAAATATATTTTCATCAATATAATGGTATGTTGCAGTACATATACAACCTAAAAGAACAAAAAATAAAATAAATCAGCGCCAACGGGCACGCATGATTCCCATCTAGT